ACCCCTTTTGTTTGTAAGGCTTGGCCTCACAGTGGCCATAGCTAAATTTGAATGGCTCACTGAGCTTATTTTGCCAGCTTTCTAGGTTAGATTATGTGGCATGCAGCTCAGTAAATAAAATCTGATAGAGAGGCTTAAGTCTCAGTGCTAACCTAAACCAGCAGCAGCACTTTGCCTCAAGTCTTCTAACAGAAATGAATCCCCCTTAAAATCCTCCACTTTACCATTTTTGTTGGTGTGTTTTAATTAGTACAATCAGTAATCCATCGGTGCTTGATGTATTTTCACTAGATGATTACTGAATTACAAGTAGCGTTTCTTCAACAACACTAAACATTGATGGTTCGTTTAGCTCCATTAAGCAAAAAATTATTGTCTTTTGGCTATATGTTTCTTTTTCTTTTTCTAATGTATAAAATTATTTTTAGTCTGGAAAGCTGTGCTTATGGATATACATAGATATATAAACTGTAGATATATTTACCTGACCAAAAAATCTTACCTACAATTTTTCTTGCAAATAAGAACAGCCATCTGTATTCAAATTTGTCTTTAAATGTTAGTAATAAGTAAATTAAGTGACTTTTCAGTGATTGAATCACAGGTTATCTTTATCTTAACTGTGTTCATCACTCTAAGCAACCACAATAGAAGAATGTTGTTGGTGCAATGTTGTTGGTCTGGAAACTGCCTGCACATTGGTTTGTATGGGGAGTTTTGGGGAAGGTTGAGGCTCAACTATACATTCTCAGTGGGTCTGGTAGTACTAGCAACAAGCTGCATGTAGTCATTTGATACACCCTCTACATTAGGTAACTGAAATGATGTTTGAACAACAGCAGAAACAGCATTGCGTGAATGTAGCCAAGTGTAATATTACTACTACTAGTACTACTGGGTTTATGGCATTTACTTTAAAAGAGTCTAAACATGGTGTGAAGGTGGTTATCTCCAGTATGCAAGGTTAATTTTTTAAGAGACTTTGAAATTGTAGTTTGTAGCAAGTAGATGCTGGCATGAAGATAATTGACCATAATGAAGTGAGTGGGAAAACAAACCACATCTCTTCAAAGTCAAAGGTTTTTTTCTTTTTCCAAAATTAAAAGTAAAAGTAATTTTGTCTTCTATTGAATATGTATTGGTGGCATTTTCTGAAAAGTGAGGTGTATTAACATGAGTGGTCACTGCTCACTCGCTCCCCTTATAAGGGCTCCGAAAAGAAAATCCATATTGCTTTATTGTCCGTGAAAAGGTCGCCACATTCAATTGCTTGTATAGTGTGTTCTTTATCTTGAAGGTTCTTTTTTTTCAGTATAAAATGCATACTTGTCATCTGAGTGAAGGCCAAAGCGATAACAAAAATAAATTTCATTTTTTAGGAGTCTAAAGTAGATTATACTGAACCCACTCACATTAAAAATAGTATGTGGAGTGACAATTTACTATATTCAAGGACCAACATTAGAACCTGGTGACTCAGTCAGCTAAGGGAAATGCAGTACCATGTAACTGCTATCGTTTGGCTTCAAATCCAACACTTATCATATGCAAGCTCCTGTCTTTCAATATTTTCTTCCACTCTCTTTTTAGAAATATCTAATGAAGGCAAAATGCCAAAAAAAAAGACCAGAATGAAGCGGTTTAAGGATGTCAGAATGCAAAATTGGTCTTTTAAATGTCAATGCTAAGATACATTAGTGAGCTTTTTTTGTGTGTGGATGCGTGACTGTGTGCTGAGTGGCTGACACACATAAGCTCACAGTACTTGTGTCTGAACGTCAATAATATTAATTTATATCACCATTTGGCCTGTCACAAGGCTTTTACTGAAGCTAAAAATCATAAACACATTTACACTTTAATCAATATCATAAAAAATATGGTGCAGCAATGAGTGTTCCTTTTTCTCCTGAGACATAGGTGCCAAATACGTTAATACAACTTGAATATAATTGATGGGTTGAGAGGCGCCACTACAGCACTTGAACTGTTATATGTCCCCCAGTTGATTGAAAAGGCTGGGGAAAATAACATTTTCTGCAAAGTTGATAACGAGATGCCCTGCACGGCAACTGATAATGTGAAAAAAAAGACTGCTAATGGCTGAAGTGATGAAAGAGAAGAGGATCAAAAACAGTGATGTGAGTTCTTGCCTATCCAGGCAACAAACTGTGTACACTATTTAAAGTTTTATGAACAAAGGTAAATTAAAATTAGCTTTTTGAGGAGGCTCAAACAGAATCGCAGGCGGGGACCAAAAATATGAAGAAAGGTATCCCAGAGCTTGTGTCATAGACAGCCTGAAGGAAGCAGGGGTTTGCTCCGACTACAGATTACAACAGGGGATTCTGTGCATGGATGCTACAATCACTACAGAGAGAAGTGTAAAAATGGAAATGATTGCCAAGGGGCTCATTTTTTACTTTTCTGTGCCAGAAAAAAACGGTGGGTTCAAATATGGTTTTAAGGTAACATGATTGTTTTGCTGGTGACTTGGGAATGCTAAATGGGCATATTGTTATTTGAGTAGCACACATACTTTCCACAGTTTCATTTAAGAAGAGACTTTCTGTTGTTTACAAGACCTTTTTTGGCAGGATAAAGGTTCACATAAATGTTTGATTCATTTTGGATGATGCAAGTGCTGCCTGCAGTGGTTTCGGCCTCTCTAAAGTGACATCTCTCAAGCCTACCTTGAGGGAATTTCTTAACATTCACTTGGACTCAAGGATGAACTGATTAGATTTTGTTGGGCAAAGGTTAAAGGTCACTGTGATTACACAAAACAATTTTTTAGCCATAACGACACAATTTCACACAGATGTCTAATAGGATAAAATTATGAAGCGGTCAAAGGTCAGCTTCACTCAGGAACCGAAGGCGAGATTGCGACTATATTTCACATTTGGTCAGATACTAATCTTAGGTGTCCACCTTGGAAATGTGGTGACTGCGTAGATCGTTTGTATTGCTGGATTGAAGATGTGTATGAAGCATATATGAGTCTGGCCAAACATGCATGTAAACTGCAGCTGAGCTGGTTGGCAGAGGCATGAAACCATGAGGCAGTAATTCAAATTTTCTTTGTTTTAATAAATTGCCATCAGCGTGAAGTAAAGCCTGGAAAAAACTGGAAAATGCAGTGGCAGAAAGTAACTTAAAGGTGCAATGTGGAGTTTTCTCACAGGAAAACAAAAGGTCTGTCATAATTTGTGTATTCTTGAGGTGTATCGCATGCATTTCCTTTCTCATACAACACTTTTGCCGCATCTTGGCACGTTACCACCACCACCGGTTGATCTCTATGAACCGATTGGCAGGACTGTGTATCCTGTCAGTCACACGTGCATGTGCTTGAGACCCACTCACAGAAAACGAGCATCGTAGTGCTAGTGAGCTCAACGGGGAAACTGTAGTACATCTGATCAAGTACTGTACTTAGTGCAATTTTTGAGGAATTTGAACATTACTGGAGTATTTTCCAATTTATGCCACTTTATATTTCTACCCCACTACATTTCATCTACAACTACATCTTTCACTTGAGAACAAATAGTTAAAATTAGCTCCACTTCAAACAGTAAAATGCTACATACACATTGATGTATCAGTAAAAAATAATATAAAAATGTAATTTGTGATAATGTATGACTGTAGAGAGCATTTTTCTGCAGAACAGGTGCTTTTGCTTTGATGCTTTAGGAACACGTCGCCATTTTCTTTTCATTTTTTTTTTTCTGCCACTGAGTCTGGTCGGTGAAAACACCAGCAAACACCTCTTTGTTACTGCTTTAACTCCAAAGTGACAAACTGTGCACTGAAGCTCTGGGCTCTTTCCACTTAACAAAATGCGACCTGCAAAACCTGCAGCAGTTTCACTCACTCAGTAGGTGTTTGAGACAAAAAGGTGTGCACGCCTGTACAAGCTGCTCCCATGCCTTGGCATGGTCAACGTCCCACAGCGCCCCCCAGAGCTCCATTATCATGCCCCCCCCTCCCCTCCCCTCCCCTCCCGATATTAGATTCTTGATGTGTCTGTTGCTGAACTTTGCAGGCTGACAGGTAATAAATATTTATATGAATATATATTGGGATGAATATTGGAATATATAATACACATAAGATTTGCTATGAGCAGTTGAGTCCCTTGAAAATTTTGGTACCAGAGTTACAATCTGACTTTGACTTTGCTGAATACTTTGCTGAATTTTGCTTAAACATAGCAGTTTGTCTGTTTTTTTTGTTCGTCTGTTCAACACTCGAGACACCGACATTGTGGCTTCACACTGCTGGTGTTCAGTTTCTTTTGGAAATGAGTTTCCCAGAATTCCTCATTAATCAAAAGATGGGGAATGTTGGCAGTGTAAGTGCAACACCAAGGAATATTTTTGTTCTTCTTCTTTTTTTTTTTTTTGCTGTATATTTCTTGTTTTTCCAATTTTAACTGAGCCTGCGGCGTATTTGACAGTGCTCTGTTTTCAGCGAGTACAGTGTTGGAAGCGGTGGGATCGTGGCAGCAGAGGGAGCTTGTTAAAAGAACAACAGCTCCGGCTTTCATGACAGAATGAGTATGCAGACGACTGAAGGCGTGCTGTGCAAAGATCTACAGGCATTGTGCGACGGCTGCACCAAATGGACCTGCCTGCGCTGGAACGGTGCAGCGGGAATGAAAGGATGTCCACAGACACAGCAAGGGTCCTTTTTTACACAGTACAGTGTTATTTTCACTGAAAGGTGTTTGACAAGATGACCACAGCCATTTGTGTGTGTGTGTGTGCTGCATTTACCACAAGGCAAAAATGGGAACAGAAATATGGCTTCAAACAAAACATCAGGCATCATTCTGTCGGCCTTGTATTTAAAAAAAGAAAAAAGAAAAGAATTAGTAAGAAATGGTTTTAAAATAGAAAATTGAATTTATATTTTAAAAATTGAGGTTTGGTTTGGGCTTTTTCAGTGGTAGAAGCAAAACCCAAAAAAAAAAAAATCATTTCAAAGAGTTTCAGTGACTCAATTGTTTTTTATTGATTGAAGCAGAGGCAGATAATCACCATTACAGGTCAACTGAAATACACACTCTGCTCACGCCTGACATGCACCAAGGCCTTGATTTCAGTGCAGTCAAACTTGAATAGGAAAGCATTTGAACCTGAGGACGTTGATTTGATAGCTGCTCACTCATGAGTCGTCCCACAGTGCTTTGCAGCGTAACCTCCAGGTGCTTCCGGATCACAGGCATTCAATCTCCTTCAGTCCTGAATCTGCCCTCACCATCAAATTTCATCAAATTTGAAGCCGGCCAGCGTGAAAGGCAAATGATTACAATCTGCTCTCCTGATTGTAGTCTACTGACCTTTCTGCAACAAATGTCTCTTTAAAAAGCAGCAGAAAAAGTCAAACTATTCCTTTTTCTTCCATTGGGAGGGCTGAAGGGTCCAGCCCACACTGCTTCATCTGCACAGCCATGTCGAACAGGTAGTCGTAGCATTCGCACCTACAAAATGCAGCAGGTAGGAAAAATACAATGTCAAGAATTTACATCTCGTGCTCTCAATACAAATGTACTAATATATTCTTAGTCATAAATAAGATCAAAGAGGTTAATAGTGGTGGGAGGTGAATGCTCACATGGTCTTGGCTTTTTCCCACGACTCGCCCCAGACATAAACACCGTGTCGGCGGACGAGGACCGCGCATGAATCTGGGTATTCATCCATGGCCCGAGCCATCCGGTCTTTCAAGTCCTTCTCCTCTGGTGTATTTTCGATAATAGGCACAACCAGGGTGTCATCATACCTGTATATATACACGGGGTGCAAAGAGACAAATTACACCCAGGCTTAAAAAGTATTTGAGGCATTAACCTAAGCCATTAGATACTGCTTCTACGTGTCTGTTCTCAAAGCCTGACCCCACCGTCTGCTCCACAGGGCTTCAGACTGTGAGGCAATCGAATCAAAGTGATACAGTGACTGTGAATCAGGCTTAGTGCTGAAACTGGGTAAGTAATTTATGAAGCAAAAATATCAAACAGTTTTTGATTCCAGCCTCTCCAGAGTGAGAATTAGCTGCTTTTCTCTGTTGTACATTATGTCTTTGTTGAGTTTTGGACTGTCGGTTGAATAAATCAAACAATTTAAAGTTGCCACCTCTGGTGAGGAATCAACCAATGTGTGACTTCATCTTCGCAGGCCCACTCACTCACTGTATACCAGGATACCAATAAACACCTCATTACAGCAAACCTTAGGACAGGACTTTGAGTGATTTCCTTTTTATATTTTCTTTCCAGTTTATAGACTAAACACTCAGGGCAGAATAATTCTGAAAAATAATGAATAATGAAAATAATCATTATTCACTGCCCTAATCCAGCAGGCTCCTGACTTGCCTTAGTCCCAGTTGGAAGCAGAAAAAAGAAAAAAAAAATCACTGCAACATTTCCTCATTTTATTCAGCTGCATTGACGAGTTACTAGCACACTGTCAAACCTTTAAAACTTTAAAGTGATATTCCCATCAGGCTTTTCAGTCAATTATAAATCGTGAACTGAATCCCTTAAATGAATGAGTGAGGAGATTTTAAATGACTGAAAGTATCATACTAGTGGTGGTGCATGTACTTGGTTACATGCACCAAAATAAACCTGAAATAAAAAGTATAAAACATCTTTGTGAAGTAAAAAAAAACAAAAAAAACAAACATGTTTTGGATTAAGATGAAATTCATTGTAGGGATCCACATGTTTGGGCCTGTAATCTGCACCAACTATTGAGAAAGTGCTGCAAGACAGGGCACATTTATGTACAAAGAGAGGCCAAGAAAGAGCTGTTCATATCGTCATGCGGCTTACGTCTAAATACCCACAGAGTGTGATGAACCTGTGCTCTCCTTGTGGGTGACTTGATGCACCATGTTATGCTTTTCTTAAGCTCGATGAAGGGCCATGAGCCAGACGCAGTTGATTCCCGCAGCAAAGTTGGCAGCTGCAGCACCATGCTATGCTGGAGATTTCTACTGTCAGATTGATAGTGAGTGAACTTGTTCCTTGGCAGGTGTGCCACACATTCATTTTGGAGAGCGGCGTGATAAAAAAAAAAAAACAACACAAAACAAAAACAAAACAAACGGCCAACACTGTTCATAAATTCACCGTCTGTGCAAATTCACGCTGTGTTCGCGTGCTGTCATCCTCTAGCGCTGCACTAAACATATCTATTATGAGAGCCAAGGTGCCTCCACCGACAGAGACTTTACAAAGCTCCTCTTGACTGAGAGATGAAAATGTGAGGAACCTCTTTGGACTTCACTAATCCTTGCTGCTTGATTACATACCGATAGTTGGAGCCTGAGGTGCCCTTACGAATCCCCTTGATCATCTCCTGGTGTGTTATCCTGAACTCCTTGCCAGGATACAGCAGCGTTGCCATGACAGCAGCCTTGGAGTGGGTGTGTATCACTGCCTGTGCCCCTGCATTTTAGCAAGAGGAAAAGCAGATTTTGATTTTTGAGTGTTATCTGCTGGTATTGTCTTTCTCAAATGGTGATTGTAACAAGGAAAGAAAAAGCACGTTGACCTTTACTTACAACGCCTTTATCACACAGCTGATAAATCAGACGAGTGTAATCTTGTCCGTTTCTTTATTTTAAAAAAAGAAAAAGCAGCTAATTTCTAGGAATATGTTAAAGAAATATTTCAACAAGCCAGTTTCCAAACAGAAGACCTTTATTTTGTGGACAAGAATCTTATTCTTTATTTCAGAGTAAAACTATCCAAAGAAAAATAAACCACACGTTTATTGAGTAAAATGTGTTCAAAATGTGTTTGTTAAATAAAAAGGAAGAAGAACACAAGGACACTGCTTGGAGTCCATTATTGATTTTACAATTTGGTTTGGGTGGATATTTATTCCATCATTTCTAAATGATAAAATGATGTTCCTGTGGTGGCTGAGAGGGCTCAACACACGGCAACTTAAGAACACTCATGCAAATACACACAACACAACCACATAGACAAACACTTTGCATATACGCTAAAAAACACAACCAAAATACACAAATGCCCTGCAAATACACACAACACAACCGGACGGACAAATGTGCTGCAAGTAGTACTGACAACAAGGCGAGAGTGACGAACCCAGCGCGGACGTGCTCATTGTTCAGTGCTTAGTGAGTTATTGAAGTCGGCCACTCATCAGCGCTGACTAATACAACAGTATATACAGCTGGTCCTGGTCTCTGACTTCAGACAATGGTTGGTAGGGCTATGTGTGGTGTGTGTGTATGATGACGTGTATGAACTAGAGCGACTCACCTCTCATGGTGTAGGCATTCATAAAAAGCGGGGTACACTGGCTCTTCTTTAATTTCTTCCAGGCTGGTGGACAGCTGATGTCCCTCTCCTCCACGTCACACACAAACATGTCATCTGGCTGAGTAACACAAACAGTTACTAAAAAGGGATGAAGTAAAACTTAGCACACTAATCGTTATAATACAGCTAAATCAAAACACTGTGTCAAATGTGAGTCATCATGTCTACTGAGCAGAACGAAGTTTCACACTGCGGTGGAGCCCTCTCACCTGTATTCTCTCTTTCTGGACGCCTGATGGCGCGATGTAGATCTGCTCTCTGGGAGTTACCAAACACACAATAAGGTACGTAAGGAAAGGAAAAGTACAATCAAGTCATATCATGACTGCCCCAAGCTTAATTTGTGTGTATCACACTCCTTTTCTTCCATTTTATTGTAGAGCAATTTGAGCAGCAAACACACAATGTAAACAACATTTCAATAATTGGCTTGTGTGTCAACAATCTATCACATTTCCTTAAGTGAGCATAGTCATTGTTGGAAGGTTTTACATTCTATGGTCTTGGCCAAATGGAGCTAATGTGAGAAAGGAAAGAAATGCAGAATTGTGGCATTCAACAAACACCAAGAATGATCACGTTGTTATTTAACTGTGAACTGTGAGGTTTAACATTTCCCCATAGGATGTAGAGGATAAAGCCATTGTACTCTTCTTTATCTAGCAACAAACATACCAGATAAAGGAGTAGCCTATTGATTTTGAGTGCAAGGTTTGGCGAGGCCGCCTCGGGCTCTGACTCATTTCTGAGTCAAAGCAAAGCAACTGTGAAAAAGTGCTTCTAAACTTAAAATTCAGACCTGCACTCACAGAAAGTAAAAATACACTTATTTGAATTTTTGTATAAAACATCTGACAGCACTACTGTCTGTTCAGTTCGCTTCATGTGTTGCATATTTTTTTATCCACTTTCTTTTATGTAGACTGGGTAAATAAATGTTAGAGGCTTTTGTTTTAATAAAACAGCCTTTAGATTGCTGAGCTGAACCACTGAAGCACTGATTTATGAACAGTGTGCAGGCAGCCACAAGATGGACACATCTGATAGCTCTCCTTTACTGCAACATGTAGATGATGTTGGGGCCACAGATTCAGAGTTCAAATGTTCTTTTAAACTGAATTTAAATCATCACTCTGCTGTCAAACAGCCATTTTAAGGAGTGATACTCTGCACAGTTGAAGTCATGCAGCTGTGCTGATAACTGCTTATTTTCAATCTGAATCTAAAAGGTGTAATAATTTAACAAAATGAAAGGAAATATTAGAGATCCAATGTCTTTCTCTCTCTCTCTCTCTCTCTCTCTCTGAATGAAATACCATCACACTGGGAGCAGCAGTCAGTTAATCTTATTTTGGTTTCATCTGAGGTTTCATCAAGTTCCCCTGTTGGCCTAAATAAATGTCTGCCATTCCGCATATCGAGCAGGGATTTGCTAATGGGTGGTGCTTTCTTTGTAGCTGCCATCCAAAACAACACAGTTCAAAGATGTTTGTAATAACCTGTCAAACTCTTCATTTACAATTCTGTTTCATTACGGGAAAAAACCGTGGCCTTCTGTCTTCACCCGAGATTTACACACACTGTCGAAGCCGATATATCTGACCTCACATCAGGCTGACTACACATTTGTCAGCATCAAAAAAAAAAATAAAAATCTCCACAACAGCATTTTAATATCACTGTCAAATATATGCTAATAGACAGTGTGTGTCAGGTAGTAATACGGTTGTAATGAAGAACCCTTTAAGATGGAGTAGATTGTCACAGTTAAGTGATTGAGTATAAAGAAAAAAAGTGCTATTTCTGATCCTCCACACTATTCTGCAAGAAATTAATCTATATACGAACCCTCGTCTCAGACTGATCCCTCCGCCCGTCCCCGTCACCCATCCCAGCTGGTAGAAGAGTCGACATAACTCGGGGATGAGAACTCGGGGATGCTCGCTCTCCTGTAACAAACACACAGCTGTTAGACAAATAATCGAAGTTCAGCTTTAACGCTCTTTACAATCAAAAAACTTCAACTCCACACGTGCTCTGCTGTTACTGTTCTTTTTTTATTTTTTATTATTATTATTATTATTTAAAGGACGCTGTCACTGTGATGGAAACAACAAACTTAGTCTGTATAACCAGTGCATATTTTGCACTGTACTGTACAAGCCCATGAAAAGATCAAAACCAACAACTAATTAACCCATCCTAACAACCAGTATGGCCGGTACAGCCAAAGCCTGGTTGTTCCTCTGTGCCGTGAAGCTCCAGTGTTGCCCACAAGCTATTACACCCGCATCAATGAGCCACATTGCTGCACTGGGTGACATGTTCCTTAATGACCATGAATACAGAAACTGTAGTTTATTTTGACATCTACACCGCCCTTCTGCCCTAAAATACTCACTAGAGCATCAAATTAATATTAATCCACAGCTGAAAATAGTCCCTAACAAGAACACTAGTTACTCCAGTTTGATAAAAAAAATAAATAAAAAAATAAAAAACTACAGTGAAGTGTTTCAGGAAATTACTGAACCATTAAAAAAAAAAAAAAAGTAAGATTTAAGTGTTCAGTAGAAATAATTGGACTTGAGGCTGTGTGCCAGAGACAAGCGCGAAACTGAAAACTGAGTATTGACACGGACTAACACACTGTTGGTTTTGGTCTTTTCTTGGGATTTGTTGATGAGAAGAAAACACAGAATAACACCAGTCCTGTGCTTAGTCCTGTGTCTGAATGTGCTGTACTTTTAATGTTTTAATGGTGTTTCAGGACTGTGCCACAATACCGGAAAAAACATAAAATTATCACTGCTGCTACTGAAAAATTACTTTCCTCCGAAAACTCCATGAAAACAGGTCTCCTGTCAAGTTCAGGTGTGTTTCTATAGCAACACTTACATACAAATGCAGTGTTTTTCTGTCATGTTATGCTTGCCTGTTTCTCTGCGGCCTCTTGACTTGCATCTTGGAAGCCGTTGCTGGTGCCACACAACGCCGACATCTTCCTGTGAGAAAATCATTGACCACATTTAATAAAAATTCCCAATGCCGAGAAGATGTGTGGGAAAGGTTTGCAGTAACATTGATTTCAGTGTCATATGAGACGGGCTTAGTGCCCTTAAGTAACAATGAAACAGCATTCTGTCAGTGTCTTACTTCCTCATTTTGATTTATTCCCAACTGGAATCAGATACTGATCAAATAACACAGGGAAGAATAAGTTAGAACTGATGTCTCCAGTTCTCACTAATTCCTCTCCTTCCTTCTCCTCCCACACGTCAGTTATTGAGAAGTCAAATTTCTTTTGAAGTAAGATTTCTATTTTGCTAATGATTACACAATGGAAAACACATTTTTATAAGTGTGATGATACAAGAAAATGGAAAGGTGTACATATTTGGATATGACTGTTAAATAGAAAATAGTTTTTCACTTTGTTGTGATTAGTGTGTCCTGTGGAAGTTTTAAAATCATCAAACAAAACATGGCAAAGAGCCCTTCACATTAAAACAGTTTCCTGTGAACTACCTAGCTGCAGAGATACCAGCACTGACTCTACATTTAGTTATATTTGTGACTGACTATCTGCAGTTTAAGGGATGGGTTGTGCTGCAGGAAGCTGTACAAACAGTCAGAACAGGAGCCTCCTCGCATTGTTGACTGGTAAATACTCTTAGTTAGCTTTTGTGAGCTTACAGTAAACACCAACTTGTTTAGTGTAGGACAATAAGCTAATGTTAAATGCCTGCAAGCTACGTAGCCAAAATTCCCTGAAGGGGAAGGAGTATAAGACTACAGGAGGGGTGAATTTTAGAAGTGCACAGTGTTACTACAACTGATAACCAATTGTCACTCACGGTCACTTCTGTCCTCACAACACTGCAAAGAGCTGAAGTTCAGAGAATCACTGTAAGAAGACACCTAATGCTAATGCCCTTTTGTACCTGTGAGTTATTTAGTTACTAAACACTTTTAGATTTTCCTCCACCTTTTTCACTTGACATGGAAAATTCCTGTCTCAATGCAAAACAGTTCCTTATTTTGAAGACAAAAAGCTTTAATAACACGCAATGCACGAACACACTCAATGCATTCATATATAGGAAATGTATGTAACAATGTGTATTGTTTTCATTTTGAGTGGTCACGGTTACGGGTAAGGGTGTTTTACCACGTTTTGTTTTATACAACTGAAGTCTGTTTTCTGCTCATAAGCTCTGATGTAGCTGCTTTTGAAATACTGTACAAGTCAGCACGCACAACTTCAGTGAGCAATCGTGTGTCACTGAAGACTGGGTATGCAAATTCTGATTTCAAAGAAAAGATGAAAGTATTTTCATTTCATTAAGTGGGTCTCTGTGCCAAGTTGTGTGCTTATCAGAGAGATCTGCTGCTGCAGTCTTTGGGTCGGAATGAAAGCATAACATAACAAACTTAAATAGTAAAACTGGCATCTCTTCTTAGATGCAACATACTGCATTCAGTTCCATAAACAGACGACTTGCTGTCATTTTTAGCTTTTAAAACCCATTCTGTTGTGGTTTGTTTATCTTTTTCCTTTGTAGACAAATGCCATATGGCACATGTACCAGCAGGTAGGCAATCACAATGAGTGCATTGTTTCAAGTTTAACCAAAAATAAAAAAGTTTTTAACAAGAATCACTGACAAGGTTCTTTAAAACAAAGCTACTACTAGAAAATAAATCTAATTGTAACACTAAATAATTATTTCTAATAATACATTACAATAAAAAAAACTATGATAATGCATATTTTAAGTCACTTTTATCATTTGCATTTCACATCAAAATACAAAGATGTGCTAAAAGATCCAAACTATGGGTCTGAGCAGCGGCGCTCTGATGAAAAGCTTCTCTTCAGTTTTTGGTTTGTACTTGTTAAGGGTGTGTGCAGCGTCATGTCTTTTTGTATACACCTGTTTCCTGTTTTGAATTCTGTTGTAGACGCTCTGGAAAAACTGCACGTTGGCACACACAAATATGTCATTTAAGTCACAGTACGCTAAATCAGGTCAAACAGTGCTTAATTGTGAAATCATCTGTTTAGGTTGGAATGAAACATGCATAACAAACTTGCATAACACAACAGGCATCTTGGATTACATAAGAAACTGCTTGTTCTAATAAACAAACAGTCATTTTCAGCCAAATGTTGTTTGTTAATCTTGTTCCTTTGTAAATTAATGCCTTATGGTACATGTGGCAAACACAGGTATTCACAATAAGAGCACTGTTTCAGGTTTAACGGAAGAAATTACAGTTATTCAAAATTTGTGAACAAGATTGACTGGCAGGTTATCTTTAAGCAAATGGACTTTACTGAAATATAACTTATATAGAGAACATGCAATTAGTCGTTTCATCTTTGATATGTCACAAAATTGTCTAAGAATGCCAATCACAACTTAAGTGGAGCCGAAGGTGATATCTTCAAATGTCTTGTTTTGTTTGACGAAAAGATCAAAAACTCAGAGTGTTCAGTTCACAACCATATGTGACAAAGAAAAGCAGAAAATCCTCTAATTTGAGAGGCTGAAGTCTGCAAATATTTAGCATTGTTTCACTATTTTTGCTTGAAGAATGACTGAAACAATTATCAGAGTAGTTATGTCGATAAACTAATCAATTAATCAACTAATGGTTTCAGCAAAGTAATCAGCAGTAAGTTACAGTACTCATGTCACACTCCAGCCTCCATTGGTGCCTCATGTATTCCATTAAATCTGACTTATGAGTTGTCTATAATAAAATTAATCATAAATCGGGACCCAAAAATTAATGAAAATATATGAAAAGAAAAAGTATGATGTAGAATATTTAGTCACTTTTGTCAACAATGGTTTAAGCCAAAATTTTAATGGATCCTGGTTCAAATGTGAGAATTCACTACTTTTTGAGGCAAACATTATAATAAACGTAATATACACAAAATTTGATAATGTATCTGTGCTCTAAGATATTGTGATTTTATTTTATTGTATTTAATTGATTAGAGTATTTTATTTTTATTTTTCCCTTGTGGTTTCCAATTAGTTTTTCGCCTCATAAAGACATGACTATAATTTATAATTACATATTAATTTGCATAATACTTGTCTCTAATGACAAGGAAATTTATATTCATTAAGTTTTTTTCATGAGAAAAAAAATGTTGACTATTTTCTTATGTTTTAATTAACTGATTATCATAATATAATGAAACAGCAAAATAATACGCAGATTTATTGATGAAAACAATCGTTATTTGCAGCCTTAACAGGCAGTGAGTCGCACATCAAATGGACCTATTTGTTGTAGGTTTATAGAGGAATAAAACCTATGAAGCTTATGTCGTTGACTGAGGCAGAACATATGGTTAGATGTGTTATTTACTAGCTAACTGAGTCACAGTACTCACGTCACGTTTGAGTAACTCGTCCCTCCCGAAATAATGTTCAGCCTGAGTCGTCAGGAACATTCATACTGCTGCTTTTCTCAGTTTTGTAGCATAAAAGTTTGAGCTGTTACCTCATAAAATATTATAAAATGCAAGTGAAGTTCTGTGCAGCTAGCTAGTGCTAATGTTGCCTCAGCTCTAGCAACATTTAGACTAACTTTGAAAACAGATTATTTTAGTTTGCAATGCAATGCATGTTACACTGTGACTAAGGTAGTTTGACATGTGCTCTTAAGAGCAGTAAAATATGCATAAAAACAACTTCTTACCTCAATTATGTTGTGAAATGAGTCTGCGGTTGAAGTAAACTACGTGACAACAGCAAACGCTACCGCTAACCTAAACGTCATCAACGTGCGACACACAAACAGGATACAGGGGTGTTGCGGAGAAGTCTGCTCCCTCTTTATATACTGCCTCCCATAGCGCCCCCTCCGTGTTTGCCTTTAGGTTAGGTTTGGTTAGGGCTGGGGGGAGGTTGGGGTCAGGTTAAACACCTGAGAAGACGACTGGTTGGTCAGATATAGCCTAAGGTTAGGCTCGGGTGAAAGTGAAGGGAAACGCATGCCGACAGGGAAACAGAATTCGACACAACACCGGGCGTGAAAAGTGTCACTAAACCTGTTATCGTGGGCTATTTTTAAATTCCGTCCATACTGTACATACCATAATGGCATGCCATGTGCAGTGGAAGAGAAATGTAGTATTTACTTAAGGGAAAAAAGCAAAACAATAGTTATTATAAAATACTATAATTAAACTTCATTCAAAAATCCACAAGTAAAGGTACAGGAGTATTGGGAATAGAATGTATTTTAGGTGTTTGGAGTGGAGTACTCATTATGCAGAATGGTCCATGTCAGCGTTATATATTTGTACGCCTAAATGTTAGTATTCAAAATCTTAATCTGAAAAGTAACTAATATTAAAGTGAGGATGATTTCAAAAATAACACCATGAATAGTTTTTATTATAAATTAACTTCATACAAAGTGCAGTAAACAGAAAAAAATGGGAATCAAATCAATATTTAATGATTTTTTATTGTTCCTTTAAAACAGCGCCACTTCTCCTACACCTGCACACTGTTTTTCAGGTACAGTATCCTTGAGATCTTGCCACAGCTCTTCTGTGGATTCAGGCTGTCTCTGACTGTCTTTTGTCTCCTCATGTAATCCCAGACTAACACCATGATGTTGAGATCAGGACTCGGTATGTTTTTGTGGTTGTTGTCATGCTGCAGACACCTCCCTGATGGTATTGCATGATGGATAAGAATCTAAACATTTAAAACATTTGTGCATATATGTACTATGCTGAACTGCATTTCATTGTACACCTGCTTCCTGTGTGAAACAATGATGAAGTTAAATCTAATACATTCTAGCCTTTTATCTTTCTCTTCCATAGGGTTCAACATTTAAACTCTGTTCAGTCCTGTGTTTTGACCTATAAAGCCTCCTCTCTGAGATAGCTTGATGTTTGCTGTTTTTTACATCACCCCTGCCAGCTGTTTGCCTCAAATCCAGTTTAAAAACTCTGATCACAGGAAACACCATCAGATCTAACATCATACACTTCGTCAACATTCTGCATCTCCGCTCATTGACTTAATAAACCCTCTTTCTGTTCTACATCAGACCGTATGTCGTACCTATCAACATTTGACACCTTACTCTGGTTGTCAGTTGCTCTCACTTACACACAGGCTACAAATGTACGCAAAGATAGCAGATACACAGCTAAACAAATCTAAACAAAGGCATGCAAGAATACACAAGGCAAGGGCTGGACAACAAACATCATACAGGATATCTTGTCATGGTAGACATTAAACATGCCATAGGCTATTTGTCTGTGGTCATATAAACATAGGCCTATACTGTAAATGCAAATGCAAAAAAAAAAAAACACATACAATTTTGTTCAAGGTAAGTCATAAATGTAAAAGAGGACTATTTCATAAAAATCGTTCCATCTAGTCTGAACATGCTGGGTTGAAGAATCCCTACCTGCAAGAGATGACAATTGCTCCACACAGGCACTCCTCATCACAGCTTGGCTTTGTTTCCTGTTGAGAAGACTCTCAAGTGCTGTTGTGTATGGGTAAGAGTAACTGCAAAGAACCCTGTGAATAGTACGGGAAGTTCCCATTTTGGCCAATCTTCAGTCTGGCAGATGTCACTGAGGGTCTCTCATCAAAGCCCTCATCAGAGTAAGAGTCAAGTGTCATCGACTTCTCCAACTGCACCCGTGGCACAAGCACAGAGGAAGTAGGGTTGTTGAAAATGAGCCGCAACAGGCCCACACTCCTTAATATTACTGCTATATTTACTGTATGTCTAAGAGCTTAGCTTCCTCTACAAATACCATGCCTTGGATGACTGAGGCTCTTAACAGACTTACTATATTTATATCTCTGTGGGCTGCTCTGTGTATACATTTGCTGACGTTGATGCTTTAATACACCTCAGCTTCGATTGTAGATGTTTTCCAAAGCTCCATTTATGCGTTTTAAAACACAGCAGTGACGGTGGCCAGTCGGTCAATTTGGCAATGTAGTATCTCAGCAAATATCTAATGAACTACTTTGATATAGATATTCATGGTCCCAAAAGGATGAACCCTTATATCTTTAACGATCCTCTGACTTTACATTTAAGACCAGCAGCAGGTCAAAGGTTCGTTGAGCTAACCCGCTATTGGAAAGTGACAAGGCGGCCCGGGGCTAGCTGGTTAGTGTGCTAACTTCAGTTGAAGAAAAGACATGGTAGAGCAAGGGCAGACATTGACGTTGCTTTGCATCGCTGGAGACAGCTGTTGGTGAATAAAGGAATGACGTTTGAACTTGCAACATTTAAAGCTAACGCTGGCTATGTAGCAGTAGCAAAACTTACAAATAGCTCCTTGAAGAGAACAGTAAATGCAAAGAGATTTTGATTGATTGCAAAAGAGTTTTGCATTTCATCAACCAAGAAAAGAAAATCCCATCTTAACCAACCAGGAACAGAAATTCTGAACTTTGGAATGAATCATTTAACTGTGAGAAGATGAAGTTGTTGTGCATTTTTCAAGCTCCTCGTGGAGTAAAAATGCAATACTTGTATGGCGCAACCTTTTATTTTTATTTCAGTAACATGAATTTATCTGTGTTCTTTTGACAGTTAACACAGACTGTTCAGTAGGTTTTAAAAGCCATATTGCAGATTGTAATTGTAGGTCTATTTGTAACAAATTTGTCATGTAACATCAGTCTAAATAGGCCCAATCCTGCATATAATTTCCTCTTAAACCCGTGAGGGATAATTAACCTACAACTGAAAAGGAGTGGCACCTTTTAAACCAAATGCCTGCCATGTTTTGTTTCATGTCCTGCCGTGTCAGGGTTTGTCAGAAATGACATAGAGTGGTGTAAATAAATGCTGCCAAATCAGATGTGGGGAGGAGACATGTGTCGGTCTTCTTCTTCACCACTTTAACAGTTGGCAACATGGAGACACAAGCATTGGGTGCGTCCCAATGTGGTTTCCAGTAAGAAGACGGTGGATAACTTAAACTACTGGCTTGGAGAGCAAGAAAAAGGAAGTACCACATGTGACCTACCAACCAAAGCTTGGTAAATAATAATAAATCACATGGTTGATAAATGAAAATAAAAGATAATGACTTTTCCAGTCTTGCCACATTTATTTTAACGGATTCAAACCTCAGCTTTAACGACAGTTGCACACTGTAACACTGTACATGTTCCCTCTTGTAGGACGCCTCTGCGCAACTCTGCTTAAACCAAGTTACTTACTTCTGTTTCGATTGTCACCTATATGATTTAATGTAATGCCTTTCACCTGCACTGCTGTGAAACTGTTTTCCCTCCTTTTGCTGTCACACAATACGGGTCAAGCCGAGAGGTTCGGATGTCACAGCAGGGCAAATACAAGTGCAGCTAATACAATTAATAACAATTCACTTTGACTTACAGTGACAGTTTGCAAGTCATGACAACAATGTTATCTTCAATGCTAGCTCACAATTCATTTTGTTATCTGCAGCTGTGTTGTCCATGCTATGACAAGTCCGATGTAAAGCCCAGGGAAGCAAACTGTAAGTGTTTTTACAGCTACATGTGTACCACTATCTCAGTGTTCTTTTAATATTTTTTCTTCTTTTAATCTGCCCCAGAATTCAGTTCACTGGGTAGTGAGTCACCACCTATTAAACCGGGAGGTGATTTCAGACAAAAACCAGTGATTTTGGCTGCAGAACAAAGGTGGCAGAGGAGAGGAACTTAAATTAGAAATTTGGAAAGCCTCCATTTGTGTGACTGATATGTATGACGTATAGACTCCTGTTAAATGGTTTTAAATGGGGAGGACTTTGGCTTCCTCCTCCCCTCACGACATCCACTGAGCTCTATCTTTGTATGATTTCTACCATGATGTTTTAATTGTGAAACCAGATCAAGACTAATCACTTCACTCGTGGTGAATCCATACATTCAGGATGATTTGGGAGAACATCCAGTGAATGTAATATTTCCATTTCCATGGAAATATGACTTTATTTTCCTCTCTGTGTGGGTGTATAAATCCTTTTCACATCTCAGTGATATGGTCAGAATTGTAGGGTATAATAAATAATATCGATTTTATTTGCCAGAACTTTCTGTCAGGCGAGAGGCAGTGATGAGTACTGCTATTATGTGTTTTTTATTTCTAACGCAGGAATGTGCAAACTGAAGTGGATATTTGTCCATGGCAGAATGGAGGTGATAAAGGTTATGATTAGTTTCTCTTGGTTATTCATGGTGGTAATAGCTGTGAGAGTTGAAGTGCACAGGTCGCTGAGCTCAGTTGCCTTGGGATTTTGGGGATGGTAACAATGGTGGTTGCCATGAAACACGGGGCAACAGCGAAGAAGAAGGAGGGAGACAGCGAGAGTGGCTGCTAATTGGTCTGCACATGCCCAGAGGACCTGCCCTTGAAAGACCTTGTGCTCGGCTGCTCTGCTGCAGTTTACCCATTCATACGTTTGATTATACACAGACACAGAGAAAATACCATGTCGTGATTAAGAGTTTGAAAATCTGGTAACACTGACATGCGTGTGTGTGTGTGTGTGTGTGTGTGTGTGTGTGTGTGTGTGTGTGTGTGTGTGTGTGGGCCTGCTTGTGGTTTTTTAAAGAAGTCACTTGAGAAAAAACATGAACATCAAAGTTCATCCTCTTAAATTTTTGCGAGGCTTTTGGCCAGCGGTGCTCGTGTTCAGGCTCTGTTTTTTTTTTTGAAAACCAGACTTCTCAAGACTTAAATGCATTTGGACTTTTGAAGAAAAACCTCACAACAGCAGGGGCCAGATATTCACCGCTTCATATCAAGGCTCGCTTTTGAAAAAAAAAAAAAAAAAACGAATAAAATAAAATAAAAACTCACTCCAAATATCTGAAAATGCAAAGCAACAGCTCAACCCAAAATGAGAATTCAGTCATTACTGATTCACCCTCATGTTAGTTGAAAAGCCATTGAAGTTTGCAGGATGATGAAACCCATAGCCAGTTAGCCTCCATAGTTACATCTCAGCCCTTTCCCCAGACTGCTGATGTTATTTTACTGCATCGAAATACTGACATCAATTTCCAGAAAAAAAAAAAAAGAAGCACCCGTCTTGTTATAACCAAACTGTTGAAATTCCAATTCACTGGACATAAATTTAAATCATTTGACTGAAAAAAACTCATTGACTTTCTGACATTCAGCTTCATATGGTTTAACTTCTCCCATCTAGATCCTCTTCTGTTGCCCCCCCACACTCACTAGACAACCACGCTGCGGGGGATCATTTGAATCCTTTGACTCACTAGCAATGTCTAGTCGGTGTGAGCTGACTATTGCACGCTTGTGAGAGCGAGATTTATGTTTGAACCTTGGGGTTAGTCATGTTACGCGTCACAGCTAATATATTGTAAAATTACATTCTCAACAGTAACAGGATCGAACGTTTATTAGGTGTGGAGCACAAGTCTGGACAAGCGCTCACCCACACACAGCTGAGTAACTCATGGCAAATGTCGTGGTTGTGAACGTGCCAGAAGAGCCCGAGGCTGAAGCTCTGCAGTGATGCGGTGACGCATCAATTTCCGTCAGATGCCAGCGTATCACAACAGTCATTATACACAACACACATTGCCTGCAGGAGGATGATACTGAGCCGAGTTTCTCTCTGGTCATGTCCAAAGTTGCGCACTGAAAATTTTGGAACAAGTCCAGAAAAAGAAGATTCTTGTTCTCGTTCAAATCCCCGGCTGGTGGAAGACAAAGCAATAAGGAAGCACTAATGAGAAAGGGTGTGTTGTTTCATGTGTCTCCAGAGCCGCACATAATTTATCATGTCTCTCACTGAGATCTCGACCTGTTTCGGAGGCTTTCCCCCTCTCAGGCGGCCAGCAAATTCCACACTTCCATGAATGCTGTTTCATGCACTGTGCAGAGTACAGTTTCACTTTTTTTTCCTTCTTTCCTGTAATTTCACTGCTGGTTGAACTTCACTACATAACAATGTGGAGATCACTGATGGTCTGTTGCATTTGCTTTGTACGTCTCTAACCTTTTGTCCTTCCTGACATGACGACCTGTAATCTCACACTCTTTCCAGGTAATTCAGTTCTTGTTTTTACTTTTGTTATCGCATAAATCTCAACATCTAAATAAAATGCTAAAAATTGGCCATAAATCTTTCTTTGTCAAAGTTCTTCAGGTCCTTTACATTCATTTCTTTAAATCAAAAAACTAAAAAGAATATTTCTTTATGCAAAACTTTGGTTATGTCACACTCTTTATAAAATCTTATTATTATTAGTTCTCTACTTGGATTGCTTTAGTTTCTGGTCTCTTTGTCTGTTCTCCTGTTGTATTTGCATCTTGGTATTGATTATTATATCCAGTCAGTTATGTCTGTATATACATATTTATAATTATTCCTCCTAATATACACTTGACTGTTTGTGTATAAAATCCAACATGTACATTTTTTAATGTCATGAACCAGTTTCAGCTCTGGTCTATTCAACAGAAACTGTTGATATTAAAACTATAATTTTAGATTATTGCTTTAAATTTACACCCAACTGTCCAACTTCCACTTTAAGCCTGGTCTCTAAATCTGAAAGAAACTGTTGCGGTAACACATGCAAGAAAATTAAAGTTTTTCCCTCCTTCTTCTTCTTGTGACTTGTTTTTTGTTCATTTCTGGCAGCCTTAGTATTGTCTTGGTTTACAGCCTCATCTGCGGTGGTTTCATTTTCAATTTTTTTATGTTCTTTTTAAAGTGATGTTGTTTGACTCTGAAGAAAACGCAGCGTGCGTCGTTTGCACCTGATCATTAAAATGATAAACAGAATCGTGTGTTCCAGTATCTCATTTACATTCAGTCGTTAATCAGGTGACCCCATTTTTTTTAAATCTTTTTTTTTAATGTGTACATAAAAAGGAGGAAGCAAAAAAAAGAAAAACCCGTGAGAAAGTGTGTGAGAGGAAGAGGGTGTGTGAGGAAGAGGGCGTGTTCTCCAGTGTGCCAGCCCTCCTGCGTATGTTTTGTAAGTTGCCAACCATTGTTGTATTGACGCAACACCTACCTGCTGCTGTGTATAAAAGGCAAAGCCATGAATCATCTGCCTCAAATTATCAGCTCAGTGTGCCAAATAGTTCCGGCTGGCTAACAATTAACTTCAGTCCATGGCTCTGTCACCGGTGTCTGGTATGAGGATGAAGAATCTTCTTCTGGGGGTTATTCTCGGACTTCTTGCTGTTGTCCACACAACACCTGTTGATAGTAAGTAAAAAAATCCCTTTTGTTATTCTATCTGATTTTCCACAGAGTTGCTCTTTCAGACACTTAAACTAAAACTATCTCTTTTTCTGTGGATCTGTATCGGTATGATTTTATTAGCCACGTGATTTTATCTTTGAGAATTAAACTGAAACATGAATGTTGTGTTTTTTTTCCTGCTCACATCCTTGTGTGAGATATTCACTGATGCTCAATGAAATTCTTTGGCACAATGACATTCTTCTATCTCAGGACTCAGGAAGCCGTATTATGGGTTATGCGGGCTGACAAATACAGAAATTCGTCAGTACAGAAATTTCAATGTGATTCCCATGGTGTCCTTTTTCTCACCCCTTGTGAGTCAGCACTTTCCCTGCCCGCCACCTAAGATGCTCTTTATGTTTCAGGCCTAACTCTCTCTGTAAGAGTAGGATTTCATTGTCGGCGCGCAGGTTTCACTGGCACCTTCCAGATTACACACAAGAGGTCTTTGTGAAACGTTCTGAGCTGCTCCAGGAGGTGCATTAATGCGTATGACATGAATGAGGTGAAACCAAAGATCAGCAGAGAGAGCTGTTACAAAAGTTTGAGCAAACCGGTAACTTCATAGGGATCATTGGAGCTGAGCGTGACGGGGCAGAAATGGAGAGTGGAGCTGTGTAGTTTCATTCTCAGGCCTCTATTTATTTAATTAACAGATTACTGGCTCATTATGGTCAGTGGCGGAAGAAGTGCTCAGATCAGATGTACCGATTACAGCATGTACTTTTATATCACCAATAAAGTCAAGCAAAGTGTTATCAGCAAAGTTTTGACTATCCTCTTTTTAAAAATATTTTATTTATTATTATTTGACCTCTTTGAGCCTCCAGCAGGAATTTAAATAAAACCATCTTTCTTCGGTTGAACAGCTAACAACTCATAGACGTCTGAACCTGCTCTTTTGTCAGCGGCAACGAGCCAGAAAAAGTTTGGAAACCACTGGTTCTTTAAAAATGAATTGCATTTCAAATATAAAATCTTATTGTGAACTGTAACTAGTAGCTATAGCTGTAAATACAGTGAATAAAAAAAATGCAATATTCAGCACTGAAATGTAGAGGAATTTCTTTTTACTATTGATTATGATAATATGCAATGAAATAAAACCTTATCACTGTTAAACTATGATTATGCAGGTAGTTAAAAAAATACATTTAAACGGACAAAATGCCTGATTTTGTCCTCTTGCTTCCTCTTCGGTGTAATGAAACCCTGACGATGGCTTCCTTCCAAGTACGACAGAACAGTCAGACTCTGCTGTGGCGAGCTGGGCGTGTCAAACGCGGGAGTTTGCTCATAACAAAAACTGATGCTTTTGTGGTGCGGCCTCTCCTTTGTTAACCCACTTACACACGATTACTCACGTGGGTTAATCATTACTGTTCCTCACCACACCTTGTCAATGAAGACCACAACGCAAGTTTATACAAGAATTTGGGCGAAGTACAAAAGCCCTGTGTGATCACTTTGTACATACATCAAAAAAAAAAAAGCCTGGTAACTTTCCTTTGCGCTCATGCTGGGGCTGGTAGGTAAACACTTGAGCTGATCTGTGGACTTTTCCATCTGTCTTTGTCGTAGCTGTGACCCAGATCCCCACCAAAGCTGAGGATGTTGTTTTCCGAGAGGCCATGACGGAAGGGTTCCTCCTCGAAAATCCTTTTCAACTTTCCCTCACAACTGAGTCACCCAAAAGAAACGCGACGCCTCACGCTTCCCCGCAGCCGTTCTCCGAGCCCGAGGGGAGCGCCGCGGGGGGCGACAGCGAGGAGTCGGCGACCTCGGTGTTTGTCCAACATGGAGGTGACCACTACACATCTACAACCCAAAGCCCTCAGCCTGACTTTACCTCTTCACCAGTGCCAAATGAAGCCCAGTCAAGTGTCACCCCGGACCACGCTCCGGCCTCTCAAACCGCTGACTCCATCTTTGACTTCCTGAGCACTGTGGATTCAGATCTAGAGTCTGTAAACGGAGATGTGTCCACTATGACCTCTGGTTCCAACACAGAAACCAGCACTGCTTCAACGAGCTCCACAGCTGACGTCATCGAACACAAGGCGCCGTGGCTGTTCGCAGAAAGTGAGGGATCAGGATCAGGATCAACACAAGGTACGTCAGAGGAGCTTTCCGTGTCAGTCACTACTGGAAAGGCAAAATAGCAAAACAAGTCATATAAGTATTCATTTACTTCATTAATTAATGGCAAATATCTCCACCCCCCCCAGTAGTTATATCTACATTCACTGTCATATTGTCTGTAATATTTGCATATGAAGATTTTAAGCCTGTGTTTTTATGTTCCTCCACAGAAACCAGCACCGCACCCTCGACCTCCACAGCTGATGTCACCAGACACGTGGCTCCACCACTGTTCACAGAGAGTGAAGGATCGGGAACAACAGAGGGTATGTCAGAGCAGCTTTCTGTGTCAACCACTACTGAAAACATATTCCACAAGTATTATCCATTCACCACACTCAGCGTCAAAATATGTTTTTACAGGTCTTACATATTGACCGGATTATGAAGTGAACATTACTTTAATAAAGTTGCATTAACTTCAGTCTCGCGTTTAAATGTGTTTTTAGAAACAAAACAGAACCAACATGGCATCAATAACCATTAATACAAACTGTGCTGCCCTGTCGGAACATGGCTGCTTTCTTTTGCCAGTGTGGATGTGAAATAGATCTCAGATTGAATTCATAATGGTCTTAAAAAGTCTTAAACTTGTTGAAACCTGCAGAAACCCTGTTTTAAGAGTGTGATTTTTATGCTCCTCCACAGAAACCAGCACCGCACCATCGACCTCCACAGCTGATGTCATCAGACACGTGGGTCCACGACTGTTTGCAGTAACTGAAGGATCAAAACCAACAGAGGGTAAGTCAGAGGAGCTTTCAATATCAACCTCTACTGAAAAAGGCAGAACAAGTCGTACAAGCAGCCCATACATTAATGGCAAATATCGTATAACCCTGTAATCACTGTCATCTTGTCTGTAATGTTTGCATATGAAGATTTTAAGCCTGCGGTTTTTATGTTCCTCCACAGAAACCAGCACCGCACCATCGACCTCCACAGCTGATGTTACTGTAAACTTTCCAGAAGTGCTTGTAAACGAATCAGTGGTCAAAAGCATCAGTAGCCCATTCACTGATGGTAAATATCCGATATCCATTAATTATGTGTGCAATCGATATCATTATTGTCTTTACTAAGATTTTAAGTCTGTGTTTTTTATGTTTCTCTAGTGGAGAATCCGGATACTGCATTACCCCAGAACAAAGGACACATTACACCAGGTGAGGTGTAGTCAATAAACCAGCTTTCTGCATGATTCAATTCTGGCTTAAAGTCCATCTCATTAACTCCTTCTCTCCCTTATCTCCAGACTGGATCATCATCCTTGGTTTTATTGTCGGTGTTGCAGCAATGACAATGGTCTGCGTTGCCATCGCTACCAGAGAAAAGTGAGACTTTAACATCAGAAAAAAAAAACAGCAATATTTTTGATTGTAAGTTGTTTTTTTGGGGTTATTTTGAGCATAGAATTAAATTCTCTCTCTTCCTTATTGTGCAGGTGGAACGGACCAAAGCAGGTTTCCCAGCCACAGACACAAACCGTCTCCTCAAACCAGAAGAGGGAGCTAGAGATGGAGACATTTCTGCACAAAGAGGAGCCCAGGGAGAACGGGAAGGCAGCAGAGTACACAGTCATCCCTCTGGACGAGCTTCCAGAGAACTACTCATCACACTGAGCTTCACAGAGAGACCCTCTGGTGGCTGGAGACTCATCACAGAACCACAAGACTGTGTTTGGAGCGGATGAATTTGATCAGAGGAACATTACTGCCAGGGCTGTTGAGCAAAAAAAAAAAAAAAAAAAAGGTTTCTGTGGCCTTTCACGGCTCGGAGTCCTTCCTGAACGAGACTCAGCGTCTGGTTTTTCCTGCCGGCTTTTAAAAGCTCTCACCACACCTTCACTTTGAAGCTGCTGCAATACTTTGGTTGACGTATTTGTTTCCGAATCAGCTCTGTCATTAACTGTAAAATATCAAAACTAGTCGGGGAAGATGCACCAATTCCATTTATGTGAAATATAACTGGAAAGTCTTTCCAGTGTCATTGTAAATATTTTTATTTTTTTTCAAGAAAATCCCTCTGTGTGTTCTTTTTTTTCCAGTGTCTTTGCTGTAATATAATTTAATATCTTTGTAATAATGTTATTAAAGTCATGGGTTGTAACTTATATTAAGCCGCTCTTTTCATTCATTACGGAAGCTCTGAGTGCTGAACAGTGCTCAGTGCGCTAACTCATTAGCTTCTCTCGACAACCTACACAGCACTTCAGCTGTCGTTAACATGCATTTCATTGAATGTTCACATGCCGCGCGACATCCGCCCTCATCTGAGGAATAAACACAGCGGCAACTCATCAATAAACATTTATTTGTGTTTAATATTTACACACAAGTATTAAAACATTTACACATCTTCAGTCCATTTGCCGCACAAATATTTGTGTGCTCCGTTACAGTTTTATTTGAGTACGAGTGCGATCAATCCTGCATGCGTTCAGTCAGTCAAAGTCAAAGGAAGTTCTGCATTACAATGAATGTCAGACACAAAAAAGACAAAATGTTGAATACTTTCTCGGACCGGTATGTGCACACAATCAAAAAGGAAGATAGAAAATAGAAGTTTTATGATCTACAGATTGTACAGTTTCACATGTTCATAGAAAACACTTACTAAGCTAGGCCATACACATTCTTATTCAGCCCGAGGACCAATGACAAATGAAACAGACGGGAAAGCGATGCAACGAATTAACAGAGGATGGGTTTTCACATACATCAGGGTGTGCTGATAATTCCTGAGGGAGGGGGGTGGGGTGGGTGGGGGGTGGGGGGGTGTGCTTGAGTCAAAACACTGGATGGCTTGCTGAGGTCTCGCAACATGTAGACATACTGTAGCTGCCAACACCAATATGCTCATAACCCTTAATAAATAACCCAATCTGCAGTGAATCAATAACAACGTGGAGTCATTAAAACAAGTGGAAAATTTTGATCTCTCGTCCCTGACAAACATTTTGGAGCTCAGTAGTTTCTCTTAAAAACAGATAAATTCAATGTATTGCCTGTAAATAAAACAACCTATAAGTTCACAACCTACTGAGACAACTAGAGGCCCGTTAGAGGGACAGTTAACATCGCACTAATATTGTTACATACAGTATATATAACTATAGACTTTATAGAAACTTTTAGCATAGCAAAAACAATTCTGATAGATGACAAAAAAATGTCAAATTCTATACATTTGATTTATACACGTCATCTAAAGAGAGTATATACACAAAGTGCAAGGAGGCACTTTAAACATGAACATATAAGCTGCTGCTTATATGAAAAGAGAAATAAATAATTCAGTTTTCACCTAGGTGTGAACAGAGTTGTTACACGGACTTAAACTCAAAACATGTTCATATTCAGCCAACATCCTACGACCTTGTTGCTACGGCTTCGGATTCTTACGCAGAATTTATTGTGCGCTTGCTACTCACTTTACTCTCACAAGCTTTTTTATTTCAATCTAAAAAAAAAAAAAAATCTGCTGTGTAAAAAGTAAAATCTGCAAAACACTAAGTAACATCCTGCGAGGAAGGCCCAGCCGTCCTCGCTCAGAGTGTAGTGAAGCTGGAAGGTGGAGCTGTTTTCGTTTCCCCCATGCTAAAATGTGAGTTGCGATATTGATGAATAGCAGTATCTTTTGCTTTTCTTTTTTTTTTTTTTAAAATCCAGAAAATCATACTGACTGCACTCTGCAGTTGACATCTTCAAGGCAAGGTTGTCATATAGCAAAGAAATAAACAATTTGAAATAAAACACAGAGCAATGCACTGGCCCGCTGAGAGTTTCTTTAGCCTCCAACTTTCTTTTCCTTTGTTCATCCTCCTCTCAGAAACACACATGAACACAGGCATACTTTTTGACTGCAAACAGTAACGCAGTGCTTCACTCATAAAGAACATATGTATATATATATGTATATATACAAAAAATAAATAAAATAAATAAATAACTGGGAGGGCACCCTTCATGAACTCTTGTTTTCTGCTTCACGGCTCCCTGCAGCACATCCTGTACTGTTTGTTACCACATTTAGAGGCCGCACCCTCCATCCCCTCTAATGGTCTAAGTCCTAAGCTTTGCTTCTTACGCTTGACCATGTGTGTGCGACATCAGGGTGTAATCCCATAAGTCAAACAGTGAAAGTTAAATGCAGTATTTAACCATCTCGCACTTACATCGCGACGCCGCACGAAGTGCTGTGTCTTTCCGTTCACGCTCTTGTTTTCTTTAACGCTTGCAGCAGCAGCAGCAGCAGCAGCAGCAGCAGCACCACGTAAGGCCCTGTAGTGTTGTCAACTGAATGTTTGATTCTTCTGAGCGAAGCGCACGACGTGCAGCCGCTCGTTGCAGTTTGTGTCCAGTTAGTGCAAATGCAAGATCTAATACAAGTTGGTGAGTCATCTGTAGTTTGCTGCAGTAAAAAAAAAAAAAAAAA